TGGGGGCGTGTCTGGGTGGGGAGGGGTGGGGCGGGGCGGGGCTCTTCCCTCACCAGCTGCGCTCGGTCTGCAGCGGAGCTCTGTGGCAGGAGACCATGTCGACCGTGGTAGCTCAGTCGCTGCATGTTTTTGGTCTTCGATCTCACGTGGCCAACAATATCTTCTTCTTCGATGAACAGATCATTATATTTCCTTCAGGAAATCACTGTGTGAAGTACAATGTGGATCAGAAATGGCAAAAATTCATTCCAGGTAAAACCCTTTCTTTCCATCCTGACATATATGCGTTAAGGGTATGTGCTGAAGAGAACCCCCATTCTCAACACGGCCTTTGGAAAGAGTTTCTTGGCCAACTTGAATACACATAGTTTTGTAGATGTAGAGGAAGTAAGTGTCCACTTGTGTCCACCTGCATTATTTAACTGTAGATTAATCTACGCAGAGTTAAAATTACGTATAAACTAGTATTAATTTTAAAGTCATTTTCTACTGTAACTTTATAAGAGAGTTTAAATAGTCTCTCTTCCTGTGTCTTCAATATCACTGTCTTTGTCATCACCAGCACCACTTTTTGAGTTACCTAACACAGTCTTCCAAAGCATACTACCTTCATTACCCCACCTTTGAACATGAATGAAGTGACAGGAAAATTTCTCCCAAGCATTTTTGTTCACATTGGTCCTGTTGATGACATTCATGATTCAGCAGCCTAATCACTCTTTTCCCCACTCTTGGTCACCTTGAACACTTTCTATTGTGACTTTTCTATATAGAAATGTTCACTGCCTGTATGTAATATTGAAAGAATTACAGTAAAATAAAGATCTGTGAATGTAGCCAGCCAGGGTAGGAGACAGAGCATTGCCAGATCCAGTGCTCGTCCCTGATTGCATTTCTCCCCATCTTCACTCACATCACAGCTTGAAATTATTCCCTTATTTCTCACAGTTTTTTCAGTTCCCTCAGAACTTGTGTTTGCCAGAGAGAGACAGACAGAGGGAAAAGGGTAATACACCCTTCAGTGGGGTGCGGTCATGCTGCAGTCCCTTTTCTTCATCCTGTTGGGGTTTGGGGCATTGCATAGACACGTGCCTTTGTTTTTCAAGCCACCAGAAACAGGATTCAAATCGTGGCTGATCACGTGGGATCCAAACCTCTTAACCACTAGGCGACAAGACCGGCTCTCCTTATTCTCTGTATAGTTTTACCACATATGTCTGTAAACTTATGCAAGATAGAATTCAGTTTTTGCTATTTTCCAATTTTACAAATGGAATCATAGTTTGGATATTCTATGACTTGCTTCTTTTGTTCAACATCATTGCTTTTGAGATTCATACATTTTGATACACGTGGCTGAGTTTATTTTATTGCTATGTAGTGTTCCATTATCTGAATATAATGTCTCAAATATGTTTATCCATTCTAGTAGTGAGGGACATTTGGGAAATAACAGTTATTCTTTATTCTAAACCATACTGCTGTAAACATTCTTACATTCATATAGGCTCATTCACTTTTGCAAAACAAACATTCTTCAGGGCACACAGCAAGGACTAAAATTACTGAATAATGTAATAGTACCAATTTACATTCCTACCAGGAATGTGTAAGAGTCCTCATTCCCCTACAACCTTGCCAACCCTTGGTATTGTCCAGCTTCTGAATTTTTGCTAATCTTCTGTTGAGAAAAGGTATCTTCTTGTGGTTTTAGTTTGCATTTCTCTATTACTAGTGAGAACAAGTATCTTTTTTTTTAGAGGTTTTTGCTATAGGGCGTGCACGCTCGCCAGACAGAAGAGAGAGACAGAGAGACAGAAAGCGAGAAATCACACACACACCCCCCCCAGGGAGGATGGCCACGCCGCAATCCCTTCTCCTCCATTCTCTTCTCGGGATCTTCAGCACGCACGCACACGTGCCCGGCATGAGTTTAAGCCACCGGGTCCGGGATGCAAACCACGGTCGACTATGTGGGAGTCCAGCGACATAGCCATTATGCTAACTGCTGGTCCCAGGACAAGTATCTTTTCACCTGTTTCTGTACTTAGTCTCATGTGAAATGCTTTGTTCAAGTCTTTCCCATTTTTCTATATTTTTTGTGAGTTTAATTTTTGTGATTTTTCTTATTGATTTATAGGCATGCTACAAATATATTCGGTATGCTAATCATTTGCCAAATGGATATATGTGTTGCAAGTAGTTTCTCCAAGTTTTGGGCTTGCATTTTCTCCCCTCACATGGTAACTTTTGATGGATGTAAACTCTTAGTGTTAACAAAGTCAGATATATCAAACACCATGTAATACTCTACTGGAATAAACTGCATTAAATACAGTTGGTTTTCATTTATTGATTTTTATATTCAGCATATTTGCTAAACTGTCACTAATTCTCATGATTTATCTGCAGATTCTTTAGGGTTGGTTTTTTTTTATCATGGACTATTATATTATCTACAAATAATGATGGTTTTATTTCTTTTTCTTGCATTACGCAACTGGTAAGTACTTCAGACAGTGTTAACAGGGGCAATGAAAATGGAAATTCTTGTCATATTTCTGATCCTAAAGAGAACTCTTTTTCCATTTCTTTATAAAGAAGGATGTTTGCTATAGGCATTTGTCAATGTCCTTGATCAGGTTGAAGAAATGCCTTTCTTTTTCTAATTTGCTTTTCTAATGTGCCTTTTTTCCCCATGAACAGATACTGAATTTTATTTTCTGTATTTTATATAAGATCATATGATTTCCTAATATTAAATCAATTATTATTTTCTACAGATGGTGTTTGTTTATATTTCATTTAATATTTACCAAATTCTATGCCTACCAAATTCTATGCCTCTTCACAAACAAGATATTCTAGCCGGGATCCTTTTCCTTCTGCATTTAATGGTAATGTGTTAGTGATAAACTCTCCCCATTTTTGTCTGAAAATACCTTTATTTCATCCTCATTATTGAAAGATAAGTTTCACTGGGTATCAAATTTTTGTCAGTACATTACAGGTCATATTGTTTTTGGTTTCTGTTCTGATTCTGTTACGAATTTAGTCATCAAGGTCTTCTTTCTGTGTATGATCTGTCTTTTTACAAGGGTGCTTTCAAGATCTTCTCTCTATTTTATTGGGGTGTGTGCATGTAACTGTAGCTCTGTATATATGTTTTGTTTTCATTTTATAATTCTCCTAGGGATTCTTTAGGATTTCTGGATCTAAAGACAGGCATTTTCAGTGATTCTAGAAAATTTTTAGGAATTGTTACTTTGATTATAGTCTTTTCTGTTCTGTATCTCCTTTTGGAATTTCAGATCATCTCAACTCCATTCTTCATGTATTTTATTTTTGGAGAGGTTTTTGCTATAGAGCACATGCGCTCACCAGAAGGACAGAGAGAGACAGAGAGAAAGCAAGAGATCACCCCCCAGGGGAGATGGCCATGCCACAATCCCTTTTCCTCCATTTTCCTCTCAAGATCTTGGGCACACATGCACACACACCCAGCATGAGTTTTAAGCCACCGGGTTCAGGACTCAAACCACGGTCGACTACATTGGAGTCCAGTGACATAGCCATTACACTAACTGCTGGTCTCTCTCCATGCCTTTTAACTCTTGCTTGGATTTCTTATTTCTTAGTTTCTTGGTGTTGCATTCTAGATGATTTCTTTAGATTCATCTCTTAGTTCATTGATTTTCTTTTCTGTTGTGTCCAGCCTATTGTTTAATGTATTCATGAGTTGTTTTATTTTTAATTTGCTATGGAGCACATGTACTCATTTGGAGGGAAGGGAGAAAGAGGGAAGTGAGAAATCACCTTCTAGGGGATGATCATACCACAGTCTCTTCCATTTCTCCTGTAGGGATTTTGGGCACTCATGCACATGTACCCAACCTGTATTTCAAGGTGCCAGGTTCAGGACTGTGTGGTCAGCCACGTGGAATGCCGCTGCTTTAACCACCCTGCCACTGGCTGGCCCTGAGATCTTTAGTTTCAATTATTTTGCTCATATTCTCATGCTTTCCTCCTAAACCACCTCTCTTCTGCTCCCAACTTTATCTTATATCATCCTACAGGCGTGAGGATCCTTTCAGCCCACAGATCCTCTCACTCCAAGTTCTACCCACACATTCTATGAACTTCCACCCTTTGACCATCCTTTAGGCCCAGGCTGAAGAGAGAACCAGAACTAAGGAGGAAGCCATTACTGGTCTTGTAAGCAGACTCAGACCATATGAGCAGGGAATTCAAGAGTCATGAGCACCTGGAACATGATCTATAAGAGGCAATGCAAACTCCAGGTGCCACCTAGATTCCATGGTAGGGGGTAGGACCACAGCAAGGTTCTGTAAAATACAGGACCCAGGGGAGAATCCATATTGGCCATGTCTCAGGGCATTACGGATGAAATGGAAAGTATTGATTAGCTCAGCCGTGGTAGCCATGATGCTAAGATTCTGTCACTCAGAGGCTGAGGCTACATGGGAGGCCTAGATTCAATTCCTAGACCAACCTAAATG